TTTAGCGAGGCCCTAAGCATCTCAGTGAGATCCTATCTCTAAATAAAATATAAAAATGGGCTGGGAATGTGGCTCAGTGGTTAAATACCCCTGGTTCAATCCCCACTACAAAAAAAAGGAAAAAACATCATTGTGGGAAGCCACCTGTGAATTACTCAAGGGTCTTCTCTTCATGGCAGCCAGGGAGATTTTAGGCATAACTTTGGTAATTATTCATGATTCTCCCATGCAAGAGATTGCCGAAGGCACATGATCTTTATCTTCACTTTACTAGGAAGATCCTTCATAGTAGCTCCGGAGATGTTGGGAACTGGACAGCCCATCTTTAACCTTTTTTGGTGAAGAACATTCTATGGGAGGGCTTTGATGTTCCCTGACATATAAATAAAGCAAGCACAGGCTCCATTTTGCCATTTATTCTAGAAGCTCAATTGGTATGGTCGCCTTGCCCATCCTGCCCCCACTTTTTGAAAATATTTGCTGTGTGCTGTGGTTTTTTTCATTGTTCCATTTTTCTTATCTTTTATTTCGCAGCCAATCATTCCACTGAGGGGAACCCCATTCTCACCTCCTGCGCAGGACGTGGGCGAGAGATCATAACTATGGGTCTAAGAATAGGCCATGCTTTTGTTCTCTTTTACATTTTAAATATTTATTAATTTTAGCCTGAGTGTAACTATGACATGTTTAGAAGAGACAGATTTATTATTCACATTAGAAAGCAAATACTGCTTGTATGATTCCCCATACCATATTTCTCACTCCTGGGGCAATGCAGTCAAAACCAGGTTGAATGTTACATCTGCACAAATTTGAAAGTCTTTTCCACAGGTGAGGAGAGGAGAAATATGATGTTCTCTGCTTGCATGCAGGAAAAAGAGGTAGCTGTCTTCCCACACCTCACAAAAAGGGAAAGTCCTTTGCTTGTTGGAGATGTGATCCAAAGAATTCTGGGCTCTCAAAGCTAACTTTTTAGGAATAAAAAGAAAATCTCTTTAGGGCAAGATAGACTTCCATTTGTGTCCAGTTTTTGTGATCTAGAGATACTTGCATGCTTCTGAGTCTCACCCCTCCTTGAAATATCAATACTTACAGAGCTAGTGCTCCAGTCTTCCTGGTACCTTGGGAGTTGTGGATGAATGAATAAATGGATAGATGGAAATATTCAAAACACACACACACACATGTATATATATTTGGGGTAGGAGCAGTATTTGTCTCTTATTCCTAGCTTAGAGCTTTAGAAATCCTTGGAATATCCCCAGCGATCAAGTCTTTATTTATAAGGAGCTCTTTTCTACTATACCTGAGTTTATGTGAATAAGGTTACCCGAGATGCATCCTGCCTGGTCATCCTCAAAATTAGAGGCTTAAAAATTTCAATCCGGGCTGGGGATGTGGCTCAAGCGGTAGCGCGCTCGCCTGGCATGCGTGGGGCCCGGGTTCGATCCTCAGCACCACATACAAACAAAGATGTTGTGTCCGCCGAGAACTAAAAAATAAATATTAAAAATTCTCTCTCTCTCTCTCTCTCTCTCTCTCTCTCTCTCTCTCTCTCTCTCTCTCTCTCTCTCTCTCTCTCTCTCTCTCTCTCTCTCTCCCCCCCCTCTCTCTCCTCTCAAAAAAAAATTCAAAACAAAAAATTTCAATCCCACCCCTCATTCTCAAGGTGGAGATTAGAAATTGAATTCAATCACTAGTGGCTATTGGTTTAATCAATCATGCCTATATAATACATCGCTAATAAAAAATGTTTGAATAATGAGGCTAGGAGAACTTCATGGATGGTGACCATATTTATGTACCAGGAAGCTTGTATACTCTGATTTCTTGGGGACAGAAGTTCCTGTGCTTGGGTCCTTCTGAACCTTTCCCTATGTACTTCTTTATCTGTCTGTTAATTTATATCCTTCATAGTAAACTATAATCATAAATGTACTTTCTACATAAATGTAGTACTTTCTAGAGAATTATCAAACCTTGAGTGAGGGTCACAGGAACCCCAAATTTGTAGTTGGCCAGGCAGAGGTGCAGGTAACATAGGGACCCATTTTGTGGCTGGGGTCTGAAGTAAGGGATGGTCTTGTAGAATTGAAACTTAATAACTCTGGGCAGTTAGTGTCTAAATTAAATTGGAGGACAGCCAGATGGTAACAGATAATCAAAGAATTGAGTATATTGTTGGCAAAACAATGTTTTCCTCTCTAGTCTTTGTGCTCCTTGAGACTCATTCTCTATAAAATAAACACAATGTTTTCATAAAATAAGAATGCTCTGAATATTTTATTATATTTTGTTATTTACAGTCCCTGGCTTTAAGAATTTGACAATCAAAATGAGAAAAGCATATTATAAATTACTAAAATACAAAAGGAAAATTACTTAAAATTCCATTAAGTAAAGTTTTATAAGTATTTTGAGAAAAAAATGTTTTATAGTTGAAGGGCTTTATTTACAATCTCAAAGGCCCATGAAGTGGGAATGGGAAGATGCTGCCCTTGCATGTAAATTTCAGTGGTACAGTGTAATCACACAAAATAGCAAACTCAGAAACTCAACCACCACCTCAATCCTCCAAGATCATCCAACTCTAGGGGCTTACCAAACACAGAAGCCACTCTGATGGCAAGTGTAAAGACTGTGCTAAAGATAAGGCAGTCTCTCTCCCTCCCTCCCTCCTTCTCTCTCTCTCTCTCTCTCTCTCTCTCTCTCTC